TGGGGGTCTACAAAACATGGAAAATTTCAGAATGAAATTCTTAGTTCAGGTTTTACCTATTCATGTCCAGTCCCCCAAATCTGAGAGGTAATCCGAGGTGTTCCTTAAATTCATACAGTACACATTTTTCTCAGTGTTGTCTGAAGAGAAATTTTTTTTATATCCTTGCCAGCTTACTAAAGGCAAGTTTTTAAAGTGGGAGAATTTTGTTACTAAGTGTTTAAATCTCATTTTCATCACCATTTTTTCCCACCAGCTAGCTGGAAAAGGAAAGGAACTGTATTTTCAAATCTATCTTTAAGTCTTACAAAAATAGATCACAAGAAAAATTAATACATCAGCATATTTTTATTTAGAACACATCCCAGTAGATAGATATTTCATGCAAACCACACTATAGCAGTTTGACATATTTGGAAGGCTCTGTAGTTTCTGGGAGTATGTATAGTTTGGTAAAGCTCAGCAGGTGATTTTGATACCTATCCTCTCTTCCACCTAAATCAGAATGAAAATCAGAAGTTGAAAACATTACTATTGAACAGTGAGGTAGGAAGGTCTATGCTCTTTCTCAGACTGTGCTGTCTTCAAAGGAGTAAGTCTTTTTATGTAATCAGTTAGTGAAGAAAGAATTAACACAGACTGTCGTGAGGGAGGGTAAAGCGAAAATCTTGGCAAGAAATAGCCTAGGCGGTCTTAACTTTTAGTAGGGAGAAGAGTGAGAAGATTCATTTTTTAGGAATGACATTGAAGAACTCGTAAGTTATGAATGGTTAAATCCCCTTTCATCCTTCAAACATATGAGTGCAAAACATATGTGAAGGTCACCGAATAATCATTATATTATAAAAATATGAATGATCTCTGCTTTGAAGGAATTTTTTGTCTTATTAGGAGATGCATGCTTGCTACAGTACAATATATAGTGCTTCTGTAGGTGAATTTTGAAAGAACCATGTGGCGCTAAGTAGGAAGCCACTCACCAAAGTAAAACTATGAAATGCTTGATTTTAGAGTCAAATTTTACACTAAATTCTTTTTTCTCTTCCTCACTTTTTGCTTTCCTTATCCTAATGAATTTTTGTAAATACCATGTTTTATGTATTCTCTTTCTAGGAGATAAAAACAGCTCATAAGTTGGCGAAGAGATGTTATGCAAACCCACCACAATGGGCCAAGTGCCTCTTCAGTCATTGTTACAGTTTATGGTTTATTTGTCTCCCAGCCTATGTTAGAGTTTCTCATCCTAAGGTCAGAACACTTCAGCAGGCATATGATGTCCTTATTAAGATGAGGAAAACAGATGTGGATCCACTAGATGAGGCAAGTATAACAAATTGAGAATGTTACTAAGATAAATTTTATTTTTGTAATTTTAAGAATATTTATGTCTCATTTGCTATAAAGTATCCGCAGGTATTTTCATTAAATAGGAAGGGTAAGAACATTTACTCTGTTTCATAGAATGAATTCTTGTTTTTTACTTTTATATTTCTGAACATATTTATTTTAAAGATACTGCTTTGGAATGAAGCTGAGACTTCTTACTTAGACCAGATTGTTTGTCCTTGTTAAATAAAAAATAACATTGATTTTATTTTATTCTTGATAAAACTTTGTTAGGGAGCATATAGGGAATAGGATTTTCGTAAGTGACTTTCTGCATAGGACGTATGTCCTAGGGTGAGTTGTAAAACAAACTGTTTTTCGGATTTTGTATCTGAAATGTAGATTCTAGTTTCTCGATCTTGGCACTACTGACATTTTGGCTCACATAATTATTTATGTGGTCATGGTTGGATGTTTAGCAGCATCCCTGACCTCTACCCACTAGATGCCAGTAGCAACCCCCACTTCTGTGCCAATCAAAACTATCCCCCGACATTGAAGTGACTCCTGGAGGACAAAATTGCCCCACTAATGTACATAATAATAGTACTTTCCTCATAAGTTTGAGGGTTAAATCAGTTAATGTAGCATACCTAGAATAGTACCTGGCTTGTAGATAGTAAGCACTGAGCGAATAATGTGTTAAATGTTTCATATTACCTCTCTTAAGACTCAGAACCATTCAGAGAGATTGTGATATGGCTTCAAGATGTGACTTCAAAACTGAGTCACTTATTTAGTCTGTCTCTTTGCTGTGTTTTTCCTTTGAAATTATATTTAGTGTTAAAACAATTACAAATGAAATATAGAATCAGATTAGAATTAAACTGAAATTGAAGTAAAAATTTAGAGTAATGATGTCTGGGGAAAGGAAAGAACACAAGGATAGAACACAAGTGGGATTGAAAAGAGCACATTCTAGGCTTCAGCAATAACTATAATATTTTTCTTTAAAATGGATCTGAAACTAATACAGCATTTACAAAATGATTTGATAATGCTATGGGAACACTGAAACTCATTTTTCTCTAAGTATTGTTTGTGTATTATAAAAGCTTTGAAAATAAGGTATAAAAAATACTAATACCATTTTCATATTTGATTACATTTCCTCTCATCTGATGTTTATAAAACTATTTGGAAATTAAGAGTACACTGGTACCTCGGTACTTGTCGTTAATTTATTCCAGAACTTGAGATGAGTACTGCACAATGAAGCATTTTCTCTTGCGGGACCGCATCGTGACTCATGCAAGTTCTAGCAAGTGTGAGGAGGCCCGAGCAAGTGCCAAGTGCTGAAACACTTTTTTTCTTGTCAAAATGTGCTGAGTACAGAGTTTGATGAGTTCTGAAGTCTACGAGTACAGAAGTATGGCTGTACTTGATCAGAATCAGTGCTTTGTACTTCATACATTTTAGTGTTTAAAAAAATTATTCTGGTAATTTTTATAAAGTGTATTAGAGTATGCTGTATGAGAGAGCAGGTGTTGATTATGTTACTGTACTCTAAATTGAAAGCACAGTACCGGATTATTTCTTTGATAAGTTATAAGTTCATGAGACATACCACAAATTGCCTGAAAATTATTTTCCTCCAGAGGTATTGAAGTTCTAAGTTAGTCTCTGGTATAGATAATTACATTCTCTTGTTTTCTAACATGCAGTAATTAGAACTGGTAAGCTAAGAAACTTTTTCTGACTATTTATCCAATAAACACCATGATATCAAGGTTAATTTCTCCTATTTCTACATCTAGCAAGTCATGTCAAGAGATTTTTGTGGTGTGCTGAAGTAATTGCACTTCTACTACTGGAAGAAAGAAATGTTTGTTTACTATTTAAGAATCATATTTGCTAGGTATATTTGGTGCATTTTATCTGTTTTTGATTATACATAGAACAGAACATTATGTACGTTATTACCTATGGCATTCCCAACCAACTCTGTGATGTAGTTTGTATATTAGCTACATTTTAAAAAGAAAGAAATTTGAAACTTAGATGAATTGACACACACATAGGCCACCCAGCAAGTAAGTGTTTTCATACTCAGGTCCACATTCCAATAGAACCCACTGTTTCATTTATATGCTTAATGGTTTAATTTGACTGCTTTGTATTCTACATTTTATGTTTGTAAAAATTGTAATAAACTAGATTTTAAGATAAAACTTTAGAAGACCCAGAAATAGCATACGCCATTTAGTCTGACTTAAAATGCATAATGCATTTTGCTTTTTAATACTATTTACTGAATTTTTAATGAAAATGAAATATTTTTCATCATACTTATTTCTATATTGCCTCATCAGTCTAACAGATATTGTTGAGTAACAAACCACCCCAGAACTTACGAGCTTAAAACAGCTATTTTATTAAGTCTTTATTTGCTGAGAATCTGGGAACGATTCTGGGTGATTTTTCTGCTCCACATTGCATTAACTGGAATTGCTTGATTATAGCCAGTTGCTCCCTGGTCTAGTCTGGAAATTCAAAGATAGCCTAACTTAAAGGCAGGAAAGTTACCTTGGCAAAGTTGACTGGAAGGCAGGGCTCAGGTGGGACCATCTCCATATGGTATTTGGGCTTTTTCCATTGTAGCTTAGAGTTCCAAGAGCAAGGAAGTATTGTAGAAACTGGCAGTTTCTTAGGCCTGGAGCCTGGAAACTGGTGCAGTGTCACTTCACCCGAATTCTCTTGGTCATGCAACAGAATTAAGCCCTTCCCCCTCAGTTCAAGGAGAGGGACATGGACCTTTCAGTGTGAGGAGCAGCAGAGTTGGTCACCATTTTTTATCTTCCTCAGACATCCAAAGGATATCACGTTGTTGGCAACACAATATTGCAATTGGAAAATTATATCCCTGGTGTTACTACTATTTATGTAGTTTGGTGCTTGGCTTTTATACAAGTAAACCTGAAAGGTTGGGGGAACACTCTGCAGACTTCATAATATATTCATCATCTAGAATAATTTTAGAAAATTCAGATTAATCCCAATTTGATATAGAAAGTGATTTTCTTGAATAGGACTCTTAAGATATTTTAGTATAACTTCAACCTAAAACTGAGGTGCTCTAGAAAGTTTGTAACATGGGATCTTGCCTATGTTTGAATTGGCTGTAATTGTTATAAGTGTGTGTGTTATGATTAGCTTAGTTCTACGTCCCTGTGGCTTTTTGGAGGTGCACAAACTGTTTACCCCCTCTTTTATGTGACAACTCTTCGGATATTTGAAATACCCTCTTGTGTCACATTTTTCTTCATAGATCTTATCTAGTTCCTTCAGTTTTTCCTAATTCATGTAGTTTCATAAAATATCTTTAACCTGGTCCTTTATAGAGATCCTCTAACAGTTTCTGCTCCTCCTCTTGCTCCTAAATTATACTCTGCATTTCTAGCTTCATAGTACTCATCTTTATGATCCTCTACCTCGTCAGATCTCTTTTCACATTTCATTTCTTCTGTTCCTTTGAATATAAGTTCCTTCCTCATATCTTTTTACTTTATCCTTTAATGGAAAGATAGCTTGCCTATTTCTGTCAACAGTTGTTAAGCAAGTCTGACACAAGCAGAGCATATTTTGAGTCCCAGCAAGAGTATCTTCTATATGTATATTTCTTTATTTGCCTCATGAACTTTTGTGCCATCTTCACACAGGGGATACACTGATCTTCTCTGTATCTTTTTAAGTTTGGTATATGTGCTACTTGAAGCAAGCACTGCATATTCTCAGAATAAACTATTTATTTATTATAAATAAGTCTGTGGCTGCCCTGTTACTATTTCTATAAATGATCTCTTAGTCAGGGATCATTGAAATTCCTGTTTCATTCTTCACGTTTTCTACCATTGTCTTCTAATATGTGAGATTGTACCTTTTAGGAGTACCCGGTTGACTTGTCCTCTTATGATCAAATCTAGCCCCCCTTCATAAATATATATCCTCAGAAAAGCCTTTGCTAATTATATTACAGTGTTTTTAACCTTTTTTTCACATATTTTTAAAGACCTGGGTTTACAAATTCTTTTTTTGTTATAGGATCCTATAAAATGCTGTCTTTAATTCCTTTGATATAGAATATAAAACATGATTTAGGAGTGAGCTATTTTAATTATACTTGATTTTAAAAATGGATTTCTTCTCAAATTATGGAGAATAATAGTCATTCTCTGTGTATAAACTTAGTTACTGAAACAAATGGCAAATGTGGCTTACATGCAATAGTTAATCATGCTGGTACTTCCATTAATGAATAGACTTTACAAATAATTTAACAAGACTCGAACCACAAGAAATGAGAAAATAGTGTGTAATAACTTTGAGAAGGACTGGGTAAATCATTAAAAAATTTCTACAAGACTTCTGGTCAAGATGACAGCATAGGTAAACATCGCTTGCCTCCTCACACAACCACATCAAAATTACAACTAAAATAATAGAACAACCACCACTCAAAACTCTCAGAAATCGAGTTGAATGGAAGTCTGACAACTATGGAATTAAAGAAACCTCATACATACAGACCGGTAGGAGGAGCAGAGAAGTGGAATAGGCTGGTTCCATATTTGCCTATTTGTGGTAGATAAAAATTCAGAAGGGATATCCGTGCAATGAGAAGTCCCAGCCCCCACCCCAGGGTTCCAGTTCTAGGAAGATAAGTCCCCTTAACTTCTGGCTGCAAAAACCAGCAGGGATTGAGTCAGTGGAAAAATCTTCTGGAGTCCCAAGCAGTTCCTTTTGACCCACACATGGACTTACTCAGACTCACTCTCTCTGAGCTCCAGCACTGGGGTAGCAGCTTGAAAGGCTGGCATAAAGGGAGGAACTGAAATGTGTGGCATCAAGACAAGAGCTGGGTGACAGCTTTCTCCCAGACAGAAATGTGGGCAAAGGCCATTGTCCCTTTTCTGAGCTCTCAGAGCCACAGAGCTAGTGGGCTGGTGCCATACCTGAGACTCCATCAACCTAACACTGTTTGCCCTTCCCTGAAGATCCCCTGAGACACTCTCCCACCCAGTTTATGGGCCCACTCAAATTGTTACCATGACTTTTCCAAATGAATGGCTAGTCTTGACTCATACTTCATAATTTCCTAAATCCTATCAAACAAGCAACAGTTGGCCTCAGCAAGCCCCTGGTTCCCGTACCTCTTGCTAAGTGGCCCCAGGCCGAGCACTAGCAGCAGCCAGCCTAGATTCACAGCTTGGGCCTGGGAACCTACAAGCCCAGCACAAGTAGCAGCCATCTCAGATTGCTTTATAGCTCATGCAGGGTGGCCCTGAGCAGAACACAGGTGGGGACTGACCTTTGCCTGTACCACCCAGTGGACAGCTGGACAGCTACAGACAACGTCTGAGCACTACCACCCTGCCCTTGCACAGCTAATCCTCCATGGAGGGCAGAGGTTGGTAGTCAATGGTTACAGCCCATCACTGCAGCTGCCTGGCCTGGGTAAATCCCTCCCATTGATCTGCCAACAGCAGTCAAGGCTCAACTACAAGAGGAGGGTGTACTCAGCCCATATGGTGGGCACACCTCAAGTATCCAGCTTGGGTGATAGGGGTGGGTGTGCCACTGGACCCTACAGGACACCTACTTCATTAGGGCACACTACCAAGACAGGGACTTATAGGAGGTCTACCTAATACATGGAAAGAAACACAGGGAGGCTCCCAAAATGAGGAGACAAAAAAACATGGCCCAAATGAAAGAACAGAGCAAACTCTAGAACAAGAGCTAAACAGAGATAAGCAATCTATCAGATGCAGAGTTTAAAACTCTGGTTATAAGAAAGCTCAAGGAACTTAGTGAGGACCTCAACAGCATAAAAAAGATCCAGTCAGAAATAAGGATACACTAATAGAAATGATGAACAATTTACAGGGAAACAACAGTAGAGTGAATGAAGCCAAGAATCCAATCAGTGATTTGGAACATACTGAAGCATAAAACAACCAATCAGAACAAGAAGAAGAAAATGCAAAAAAAAAAAAAAAAGGGGGGGATAGTGTAAGCAGCATCTTAGCAACTTCAGGTGTTTCAGTATTCACATCGTAGGGGTGCCTGCCAGAAGGAGAAGAGAAAAAGGAAGAAATCAGAAATCTATTTGAAAGAATAATGAAAGAAAACTTCCCTAATTTGGTGAAGGCAGTAGACATGCAAATCCAGGAAGCACACAGGGTCCCAAACAAGATGGATGCAAAGAGGTCCGCTCCAACACACATCATAATTAAAATGCGGAAGGTTAAAGATAAAGAGAGAAATCATAAAAGTGGCAAAAGAAAAGCAGTTGGTTACCTACAAGGGAGTTCCATGAGACTGTCAGCTGATTTATCAGAAGAAACTTTGCAGGCTAGAAGGGATTGATGAGAAATATTCAAAGTCGTGAGAAGCAGGGACCTACAGCTAGGATTCCTCTACTCAGTAAAGCTATCATTTAGAATCAAAGGACAGATAAAGAACTTCCCAGACCAAAAAAAAACTAAAGGAGTTCATCATCACCAAAACATTATTATATGAAATGTTAAAGGGACTTATTTAAGAAAAAGAAGATCCAAACTATGAACAATAAAGTGGCAAAAATACATATCAACAATTGAATCTTAAAAACTAAGCAAACAAAAAGAACAGAGACAGAATCACGGATATAGAGAATGTTTTGATGGTTGCCGACAGGATGGGCTGTGGGGGTGTAGGTGAAGAGGTGAGGGGATTAAGAAGTACAAATAGGTAGTTAGAGAATAACAATGGGGATGCGAAGTACTGTATAGGAAATGGAATAGCCAAAGAAGTTGTGTGCGTGACCCATGGACATGAACAGTGGTATGGGGACTGCCTGAGTAAGAGGTGCTGGGTGGACGGGGACAAAGAGGGGAAAATTGGGACAACTGTAATAACATAATCAATAAAATATAATTAAAAAAGAAATCTCTGCAAGTTATAGATGGACTATGTACTAAGTAATACTTTGATGTTATGTTTTTGTTAGGTGTGCTATCGAGTAGTAATGCAGCTTTGTGGACTTTGGGGTCATCCTGTTTTAGCAGTGAGAGTCTTATTTGAAATGAAAACTGCTAACATAAAACCAAATGCTATTACTTATGGTTATTATAATAAGGTAAGTAGAACTGACATTGGGCAGTATATGCTGCTTATCAAGATTGATAATTTTTTATACCTTCTTTTAGAGGTTTTGTGGTTTAATCCTTGTATATGTATTATACAAGTATATGCATGTATATTTTTTAAATCAAACATTTGTACTAATCATTACCTTTACCTTTATTTTACCTTAGGTAGTTTTGGAGAGCCCATGGCCTAGCAGTACCCGCAGTGGTATCTTCTTATGGACGAAGGTACGGAATGTGGTCCATGGCTTGGCACAATTTAGGCAGCCGCTTAAAAAGACCATGCAAAAGTCACAGGTCTCCTCAATATCAGGTAATACATGTAATTGGAAAGATATTTTCTTGCTGAACCATAAACTTTATAGGTAGAATTTAAATTATATGAAGTAGGAAACTTAAATTTTGGTTGATATTTTTATATACAAATAAAGACAGATAATACTTTAGTTCAAAATTCCACCCCCCTCCCGACATACTTAGAAAGTATTCTACAACTTTAAATGAACGGTGGGTCATTGATGTTTGCTTTTATAGATTATCAGTGCATGAATTATTGAACTACTGTTGTCCTTATCTTTAGCTCCTCAGAATGCCACAGGTGGAAGTGATGGGGACACGGTGAGCCACGGTAGCGTGGATAGTTCTAATGATGCTAACAATGGGGAGCACACAGTCTTCGTCAGAGATTTAATCAGGCTTGATTCCATTGATAATCAATCTAGCACAGGTACTAAATCTGGATTTTACTAACCCTTCATTTACTCTCCTGTTATGTCTTTCCTTTGTTAAAAAGATTTTCCGCCCCTCTCAACTTTGTCAATATGAGTACTTTAAAAATACTATCTATAAGTAAAGGAAGAAATTACACCTTTGATTGCTGCTCACTTCTCTTTATTTCCTGTAGTTACCTTTTGCTGTGCAAAAGGCTCTAGCATGGAACTTCTTTGTATTTATTCATCATTCATTTGTGAAAGTGTATGATGTAATTGTTAGGAAACAATGAGCTGAGGAACTTGAATATTAGTAACAACTTGTAAATCTTTTCTTTTTCATGAAGTTGGAAATATTTATTAAAGATTTGAGATTATGAATATTAAAGAGGTAAGAAAATAAGTTACACATGATGAGAAAAAGTACTCTCTGCATAGTCATTAACTTAAATGACAGTTTTGAAAATCTGAGAAATTACGGAAGCTACTTTTACATACAAAACTATGGGCATGATCTCTTTCCTCTGAAGGTAGAACTAAGTATAATTAAAAGGAGCACATTGAGCAGATATGCGTGTGTTGCACATCCTTCTTGTTTGTTTTTCTTTTTTGTTGTTAATATCTCAGGCTTTTCTTTAAAAGAATTCAGAATCTAATTCCTGTGCTTCATCTGATGAACTTGTCTCAATGACTGAAGTTTCCTTTTCTCTGCTCTTTGTTGCTCTGCTTCTTGCTCTGTGCTGTTGCTTGGTGCTGCATTTGTCCTTGGCTGTCATGGTATGGGGGTGCAGACAGACTTGTATGACGTGAAGCTATGGATACACGTGTGCATTAATTCTACCCTTGAATGTTAACCACCTCAGGTAATTTCCCATTTATTAG